ATCATAGAAAATTAGGGTTAGAAGGGACCTCAGGAGGTCATCTAGTCCAACCTCCTGCTCAAAGCAGAACTAACCCCAACATAGAATCATTGAAAATTAGAAAATGGACTAGACATACCATAGTATGTTACAATATTCATAAATCAAAGATGCCCATTTGCCAGGAAGGGGAGATGTGTTTTGTTTTCTTCTTCTGCTGTTTTCCTAGACGTTATAAAAAAGATTTATATTAAAAAATTCTTTAAGTATACTAGCAATCAGGACTCGTAGTTGAGGTGATGTGTTTTATTAGACCAACTAGATTTTTGGAAAAAAATATCTTTAACTGCAACTTTTCGGGCACAAACACCCATCATCATCAGGCATTGGAGAAAAGATTGTAAAAGTTGTCCTGGGTTGAAATGAAAATTCATATTTCATAGGAGAGTTGAAGTTGTGGTAAAATCTCCTGTTTGGAAAAGTTCATTTTATATGCAGATTAGGCCCAGAGAAAAGTTGGAATAGTCTGTTTACCTCAAAGGTGTTTGGTGTTAAGCAGGATGTATTTCTATTTCCTTCTTGTTATGGTGTTTCATATTTCACAGAGGAGTAAATAGATGGAATGCTTTTCTTGGCAGGCATTTCTCATCTGGTGAGGTGTTTCTGAGCTCTTTTTTTCCCCCCAAAATCTAGTTGGTCTAATAAAAGATATCACCTCTACCATGAGTCCTGACTGCTTTTTCCTTTAGTCCAACATGGCTACAACCTGGATACCTTACGTATACTCTGTGTTTTATGGACAGAAAGAAGATTAGAATGAAGATCATAAATTAGGGTTAACTGTTTGTTGTTTTTCCTGAAGCTGTACTAAAGTGACAATAAAAATAATTGGTTCAGCATATCAATATCAAATAAAAGAATGTCCTATATTTTTAGAGGTTGGAAATCTTGTGGTTGAAAGCAGATTTCAGATTCTCAGGAGGAGCATCTGCAGTACATTGAAGTTTATTGTCTCTTATGCGCTTATGGTATTCTTCCTGCCCACATAGAAAATTTATTTCTTGAAGAAGAAAACAAGTGGTGGAAGGAATTAATAGAAGACAAATATACTACAACTCATATTATAGGAATTACATATGTTATATAATCTTTTCTTTAGTGTTTAGTTCTTTAGTTTTTAGTTAGTTTTTTTTTTAAGTGCTATTTTCTGTAAGCAGAAGAGAAACAAATGGAGTGAGATAATGTTTAAAGTAATTTTGACCCAACACTGGGGACTGAATTCTGGGCATCTCAAGCTGAAATTCTCTATCATCAAGTTTTGTTTCCAAGAGCTGCCAGACCCATAGTCTGTGGGTCTGGAGGAAAGGGGTGCTGTAATAACCTGTAGATCAAGGTGTTGGTGCTTTTTAGTATAAACTCATAATCATGCGGTAAATTTGTATAGATACACTGAACTTTCTACCAGTGGAACTTACAAATAACCATTTTACATAACTTCATGTAACAATGTTTTCTCCTTTTTGTGGACAGGAAGGCGAGTAAAATGCAAAGGAGGAATAGGAGGTGGCTAGCTGAGATGACTGACACTCATTAGCACTTATGACTTGTACATAATTTTTGTTCTGTTATTGCTCAAATACTGCTGTTTGAGTTGCCTTTTAAAAGACAATACTGGTGTCTTTTAAAAGACACTAGTATTGAAGATGAATACTGGTGCAGGAATTGTCATTTAAAATAAGTTTGTCACACATCTCATCTTCCTGTAAGTACTACTGGATTTACATAGTGAGTCTCTGGAACCTGAAGAAAGTTCTCAAAGGGTCTCAAAAGGTCTCCAAAGCATGACTCCCAGATGATAAGGTGTAACACTATAACAGAACTGCTCAGCCTGTCTGGCCCTGTGGGCCAGATCTGTGGTGGACAGTTGGTCTGTGAGTGTAATTTGGTATGCCAGCCTGACCCCATGTGCTGGATCCAGTCATAGTGCACCCCTGCAGGTCAGCATGATCTGGCACACAGGACCATGTCATCTAGACCACAGTGCTCCCAACTGGGCTGGAAATCTGGTGGTGGGGAGCAGTGGTAGTGTTAATTGCTGTGGCTCTGGAAGCACTTCATGCTGCCACTGCTTCCCCGCTGCCAAATTTTTGGACCTGTGGGGAGTGTCATGGCTAAGATGACAAAGTTCCATGGTCTAGATCTGGCCTGCAGGATGGTGATTGAACACCACTGTATTACAGCATTTTAGTATCATCCAGTAATAAACATATTGTATTCGCCAGGGTCTTCAGACACCTAAGATAATGTTCCTAGTTCTACCACAGGCTTCCTATGTTATCCTAGGTAAGTCAAATAGTTCTCTGAATGCTTACAAAACTATAAAATGATATGAATACTCTTTCTTTGGATAACAGGAAGATAAATGTATTAATGCATTTGAGGTGCTCTGGTATGATTCCAAAGAATAACTGATATATGTTTATTTTTATATTTGTTTTCTATTTTATATCTTGTTTTATATTTGTAGATATAAAAATTAATATACCTGGTGGCAGCCTGTAAGTACATCGGGGTGTGCATCAGGACCTGGTAGAACACCTCCTGAGCGCCCCAAGGGATGACAAGGTCCAACGGTCACAAACTCCTCCAAGACTTTTTTAGGCTGGACATAAGGAAAAACTTCTTTACTGTTTGAACCCCCAAGGCCTGGAATAGACTGCCACCAGAGGTGGTGCAAGCACCCACTCTGGAATCTTTTAAGAAACGTTTGGATGTTTATCTTGCTGGGATCCTTTGACCCCAGCTGATTTCCTGCCCCTGGGGCAGGGGGCTGGACTTGATGCCCTTCCGAGGTCCCTTCCAGCCCTAATGTCTATGAAATCTATGAAATATGGGCAGAAGTAAAAAGAGAATAAGGTTGCATCAAAGGCCACTTTCAGCACATTGAAAGACTGAGGATTTTCAATGTTTGAAAGACTATGTGCCATCCTATGAAAATGGAGAAGTTGCTGTATGATGTATGTGGCTTTAAAAATACCGCTTTTATTTCACATCTTCAAGAGGGGAGCCTCTTCCACATTTGTTGATGCACCCACATGTGAGAAGGAAAGATAATACATACTATTTAGTTATGCCTTAGATATAAACAGACATTGATAATGGGAGACATGGAAATATTTCAAACATTTTACATGATGAAAAAAAGCTGAAACAATTGCACTCCTTTTGCATATGTTTTCCACGGTATTTCAGCAAATGAGTCTACTGGCAGGGATGTTCGTGAAACCAATAATTATTATGCAGTTGTTAGACAATGATTCTGAATTTGTAAATGAGAGGTTTTGCTCGTAAATATTAAGTAATTCTAACCAGGAAACTGAAAGGGGGGTGTATGACCCCCATGCCAAATCAAAACTAACCAGTCCAGGTAACTGATGATTACCAAGTATCAATAATTAATTAGTTATAAACAATATAGGGAGCAACAGTAGAAATGATTCAGTGAATAACACTATAAAATAAATCTCAGAAAAATGTAAGTGGCTCATGGACAATTCTTAAACAATAGACATTCATCTACATTCATAAGCATCTGTCTAAAGATGTATTCACTAGAAACTATTTTCTCAACATCCGTGACTACTGAAAGATATGATCTTTTAAAAGGTTGTTATTAGCCCATCAACACCTAGAGAGATGACAATTTACTGCAAATATTTGTGTCTGCTATTAAAAACTCAATTAGAAATATCCGGTAGTGGGGAGCTCATGTAATATTTAAGGGGATTACACAGACTTTCATCATATGGGTACTGGTATGAGACCAAATCTGGCTGATACAGTAAGAACAATACTGCCACTTGCCCTAAGTTCAGTAGTCTATATGAAGTGACATAGAAGTCTTCCTTGAGTTCCTAGTAGGGCAGATGTTCACATCACAAAATATCCACATCAGATGAAACCTTTGGCACTTTTCTCAACAGTATCAGAAGACAGCCAACAACTGAAAAATCTTTATAGAAAAAATGTATTCAACAATTTTTCCAACAATAAAAACTGATAAGAACCATTGATATAGCACCTCTTATAAAATTTCACTAAACTTCTTGAGAAGTCTGAGTAAAGCTGCTTTGGAGAGTCATAAATGACTGCCTTCTTTTTTCTGAGCGATCACTGGGGGTTATGGAAAATTGTTTTTGTATCCTTAGAAATTTTGTGTGGTAGGCTTCAGAGTTCTTTACTGTTCCTCTTCCCATTAAATATGTAAGCTATAGGAGACCATGAACAGTGGAGCTGCAGTGTCTCTGGCATGCAGATAGAGCACTCTGTTTTATTTCATAGACTTTATCTAAGATTGGTGTCTATGGTTAAAAATACTTATCTCAAGTAAAATCCAGACCATAGAGTGGTGATGCTGGCTTGCTAGAGGGATTATTTTGAGTGGCTAATGAAGATTGTATCTGTTCCATTTTTGGATAAAACTCAAACTCTTCTATGGTTTGAGTTTGGCTGTCTAAAAAGCCACCTCCTTTCTCTTTAAATTATATTGTCTTATTTTTATTAGGTGTTCATCTTGCCTATCATAATAATCATATGCATCCAAGTACAGGTGGCTAGAGAGGCATTTTATAAACTCAGAAATACTAATGACTTCCACCTTTTTGATTTATTCTATCTTTATATAATTCATCCATAAGATCCCCTTATTTGAGATAACCTATGCAAAGTATTGTATACTGTATTTTGTGTAAGTTAGTTATCAGTAGTCACACAACACTGAAAAACTGAACATTGCTTTTGGGAGTGGAGAGAGAGCCAGGAGAAAGCAAAGTCTTGTGTATGGAAGAGGATGTAATGCCTTTCCACCAAAAGGGGCCTCAGAAAAGCTGTCTTAGGGCTGTTGTGGACACATGTCATACTAGTTTACCTTAAAGTTTCTGTGGGAACTATTACAAAGATATGTACAGCTATGTTCAGCTTGTGAATGATATGAACAATTTCTGATGATTTTTGTCTTCTAGAATGATTGAAGATTGTGGGAAAAGAGGAAATACCATGGCAGAAAGAAGGCAGCTGTTTGCAGAAATGCGTGAGTACTTTGTATAAATATTCCACTGCGAAAGATGAACTGGATATAATCTAACATCGGTGAATGTCATGTGAACTTTCTGTTCCAAGCAAGTGATATCTCATTCTACAAAATTCATTTTTCCTACTATGAAACCAAAATAGCAGAAGGATAGCTATTCAGAGGTAATTAATAAAAAGATATAATGCCTACAATAACACAAATGTAACGCTTGAATAAAGAAAGCAATCTGTCATAGACCCTGGATTTTATAGCATTGATATTATATACATAAGAGTTCATATCATTTGCTTCCCCCTAACACACACACAAAAGTAAGAAAGGAAGGAAAATGTGCGTTAAAGTACTGAATAAAAAGGAAAAGATTGAAGGATTTAGAAAATAAATATATTTTAGGTAAATAAGGTCCCAATTCAACAAAGCACTTAAACATATAAATAAATCCCTTTAATTTCAAAAGAGTGAGATCTCCAAATAGAGAGTTTTTCCTGAACAAGGCATAGATTGGTTTGTAGGGGTTTAGGTTGTAGCCGTGTTGGTCTAAGGATATAGGCAGACAAGGTTCCTTGGGTGAATTTGATCTTTTATTAGACCAACCCAAATGGTTGGAGAATAGTTATTAAGCAAGCTTTCGGGTTCAAAAACCCTTCGTCAGGCTAAGGAAGCTTCAGCAGTTGGCGTGTGCTCTTCCTTGATGGAATGAAAAGTAAACAAGCCAGGGGCTGGGCTGGGGAGTCAGTTGCCAGGCAGATTGTAATGTATCAAAAATCCAATGTCTATGTTTAGTCCCTGATCTCTAGTATCCAGCAGCTTGATGAAATGGAGCTCATAGGCTCGTCTCTGGGATGTGTTGTGTAAATTTCCCTTGAGGATCAGGACTGAGAGATTGGAGAGAGAGTGGCCCTCCTGGGAGAAATGTGCCCCCAC